TTAGATTTATCGGTAACCAATGGCGATCTTTTCTCAGAAAACCCCATCCATATACTCGCGCAAAAGGAGTGCAGTAGTAATAAACCACTTTCATTATTGAACATGTCATTGTTCTGTGCTCGAGACAAAGAAAAAGTGAAATTGACTCCGATGAAGCAATGCCGCCATAAATCACTTACACACTGTAGGAATAACCTATGAAAAATTGAAATTTCTACAAGTTCCTTTTTTATTCTACTCCGTAGAAACTGAAATTTTCACCATCCGTCGATACATGAAGAATCATTATTTTTAATCACATGCTGGAAGTTATAATAGACAACAATTCAATACACTATACGTTTTTCAACTAACATGAAAATCCTGTTTTTCATTGTATTTTAATTAAAATTAATTCAATTTGACTATTTACAATTCCAATCGAAACAATGTTGATGACATTTTTTGAATCGTAAACAAATTATCTTAGAACATTCAACTTTGATTTTCGGAAAATATTGATATTAAGCACATTATCAAGGCAATTTTTTAAGAGCAAACTGTCAGACAAATGTCGAGCATCCTGTACCGTGGTATCTTGATTTGATATTATTTTGCAAGTATAGAAACCAATGTTCATGAGTTCACCCTGTATCGGATGTTCGGAAAAAATCTCGATCCGCATGCGGTCTTGTGACTTAACATACACCCATTGTTGTTCTGTTCTTTGTGAATCGGTAACTAGCCAATCGTCGAGCCTTATGGTTTTTTTAACCTACATAGTTGAGTAGAAAGTATACGGTATGTTGTAGGAATTGCCATCGAAACTCTTAATAACTCACAAAACTACTCACTCCTATATCCCATGCATCTTGATCTAGTTCTCACGCCCACGCCTCTTATTATATATAGTACGGAAGACGAAGTTACAATAATTTTCGTTACGAATGTACAAATCAGAATGGAAAAGAATAGTAGTTTCTAAAACTAAAAAGACACGCCTTTATAGATAGTGATACTCAAAAAAGTAGAAAATAAAATTATACAAGTGTGTTGATAAATACACGACATAGAAAGTACTCATTACGGAGGTGTTAATATTTTCTATTCCTATATATTAATCAATAAACACACACTCATTATTTTATTTTCTCCTTTTCAGTTCAGTTTTTTAAACAACTATTCATTTTCATTTTTTTTAGTTCGGCTCAGCTACAAGATCGTGATTTTCAGTCTTTATTTATCTACTACCCCGCAATGAGAGTGGATGCCTTCCTTAGATGTTGTAATCGTTTCAGGTTCCCTTTTCACATTTTCAGGAAGACACTACCGTCTCTCTGGATGTGGAAATCGTTCATCCTGAAGATCCTGACCAGGATAATAGAGCAGAACTATTAAATTGTCATCGGTCCTTGATAAATTTGCGAAATTTCAATTATTCAATTCGACGTTTTGAAGTGGGTCAACATCACCCGTCACTCTCGATGTAACTAATAATAATAATAATAATAAATAAATTTTATTTCTAGAAATATTTCCGACATTATTTGATTCGAAAGTTCATGAACTCTGTCACATCATATATGGTTCTTTGTTTTAACCAACAACTTGAATACTGTTTTCTTGAATTTTGCTAATGATTTTATCGATTTGATGTCACCAGAGAGTTTGTTATAAAATGTCTGGTATCATGTTCTGCCTGAGATCCCATATTTGTAAATAATCGTTTATTTTTGAAAATGAATAATATATATAGGCACACGCTTCAATAAACCTCTGCATGAATCTCCAGGTTTCAAGTTCCAGAGAATTCTGAGAATAATCTTCTGGATTATGAAGATCGCGTTTGCGGCCCTGCTACTTCCATAGAATATCATACCATACCTCATGATTGACTCTACGTTTGCATGATGAACCATCTTAAGTGTATGGTACTTGACATATTTAGCAATAATTCTTATGCTATAACCAGACGATTTCAATTTTCCACTAATATTATTGATGTGATTCATCCAACTCAATTTAGTATCAATGTGCATTCCTAGAAATTTTACATATTCTGACATGCTCACATTTTGATTATCAATTTCAATATGTGTTGGAATGCCATATCTGGGATAATTGGTTGTGAGAAACAAAAAATTGGTTTTGCTTTTATTCAGAATTTGTTTGTTCATTGTGAACCACTCATTTGGCACTTTTAGAATATGATTAACAATCAGTACCAAATCAGGAAACAGTTCACCATGAACTAATAGGTTTGTGTCATCTGCGTAGTTGTGAGACAACATTTATTCGAAAAATAGAAACGTACATTTGAAATTTTGGTGAGACATTTCAACTTTTGGTGGCGGAGCATCATGCACCAGTTTATTCGAGAAAAAAAATTGCTCACCCGGAACATTCTGATCAGGACAATGGAACAATACGCTTAAATTATGCTACTGTGGCCGGTCCTTTAAAACGAACATACAAACATACATAACTAGCTAATAGAAGCTTGGTAATATGAAAAATTGTATCCACAATCTTTAACGCTGAGTGCTATCCTCAGCCCTCATTTCATTCAAAGTATCATCCGGAGATATTCGAGAAAAAACGATAATACTCCCCACGAATGATAGCAATATCGATTCGAAGAAGAAGAAGATATAGCTAGATCGATATTTCTCTTACACTTGTTCAATTTATTCTACTTTCGTTTGGTGGTATTGTCTTGCTAATACAGGAAGTAATTTTGTGCATTCGCAGTGGATACGTACTGTCTATGTCTACCTAAATTGATCGCAAATTTACATAACTAGTTTCATTACGTCCATAATTTGAATTGTTCGTCGCATACCGTGATTTCAATAATATCTGAAGATCTGAGGAATAAAATGGGAAATGACTAAGTTGTGGTTTTGATCTCAATCTCTAAAGCAGTTTTGAGTTCTTAAATAGATAGGCAGCTATTATAGTCCAGCAGCAAATCAATATCAGAATATTCCTATAGTGCTGACTCTGGTTTTGATTAGCTAGAAATTGGTGTCATCGATGCTGTAGTGAATAATTCTTGGAAACACATCCTGTTGTATTCTTATTATGTATGCGATTCCTAATTATTTTGATTAAAAACTCATCCAATAATTATGCAAAGATATGGCGTGTTTGTTTTAATTCTGGGAAATTTACATTCTTATTTATTCCAAACAACTAATTACACGTAATACAATGGAAGTAATTTCGTAAATATTTCAACGTTGCATTCTGTTATTATACTTTTCAGTTCCAAAGAAATTCTGATATATTCTCACCAAGTTGCTGTATAAAAAAATGTTCTCTTTATCTCAGAACTTTGTAATATAAGTCTGAATTAATCCATTAGTACCCAGATTTTTTTTCGATTTTTTGATTAATTTTTGTATTTTTTGGTCAAATTGTTCTTAGAATTTATAGAAAATCATGAATTTATGCAACTAGATCCTTAGGTTAAGGTGTTACATATTTGTAACGCTAGGAACTACTGGTAGCAAAAAATAAGTATATTTGTTACTAAATAGTTTTATTAGAAAAGCATTTAGATACAAACAAATTTGGAATAGGCATTTACCATTTTGTTCAAACAGTTTATGTGTGGTAGTCAACAGAACAATCAATGCATAGGCTCAAGAATCAAAATGGCGATTAAACATTTCATTTCATCTGGCGACACTCCTTGACCGTGTTGGTTTTTGAAGCATAGGAACAGGTCAAAGAAGTCAACAGCAGATTTGTTTTGGAACATTGAATAATCTGCTTCAAGACCCAATCACGGGGGGTCAGAAACTTATGGATATACTATGTGAGCTGCTAGCAAATTCACATCATTGGTTGGAGAGACAATATATTCGATTCGTATTCGAATGAATCTTCAACAGATACTTGCGTTTGTGTCTCATCTATGAAAATGTCCTCTTCCTTGGCAGTTCGTACTTCTGCATCAGCCAGTAACTGACGCCAGCTCAAATTATCAGCATTTACGCCCTCGTCCTCGTCTCCAGAACCACCATCTGTAAGATTAGCTGTATCTGGACTATCTGGTGGTGCTATTTAAACTTCATTTATGCAGCCATGTATTTCGTCATCTCGAACAGGAAGCCCCTTCTAAAGGATGGGCAAGACCGCTGAAATAACAAATCATCATCAATAACGCGGAAAAAATGCTTACATTACATCCTAGCGTTACACATTCGTAACACTCATATTCAAAACAAAAAAATCTATGTCGAGTATATACAGAGAACATCTTTTTATGTTATCATAATATATGGTAATCTTGTATGTAGGGGGGATGACATGCGCGTAAACATCGAGGCGGCTAATTCAAATTGGCAAGTATATATACTACAATATGCAATCATTCTATTTGTATACTCACATTAACTCCATTTCACAAAATATAATACAGGTACTAACCTTTCATCGGGGAACTCCATATTTTTAGGGTTTTGAACTTCTTTCGGTTTTTAGGGCTCGAAATATCGAATACCGAACTAAAATAACCCCTCACGACTAAAAATTGCTGATCCTCCATACTTTCTAAGACGAACTGACGAGTTAGGTGGCAGAAATTTATACTTTGGGCGACAAAACTGCAGATAACATGACGGCATTTCATTGTTACATGAAAGTAACGCTAGACACTTATGGGTTAGTATCTTAATTCGTCTGTTTAGTAATTATGCAGCATATTTGATCTAATGCCGACATTAAATTCAGTTTCATTACATAGTTTCAATTTCCTGTAATAATGTTGCTGTTATCTTCGACACTAACATAAACTGGCCTTTATGTTGTAGAATTATGATAAGCGAAACATATACCTGATCTTTATTGTCTACACAACGTGCTGTTGTGGTTTTCAGTGATTGTGGAGCTAATTTCCAGCGCAGTGGTGTACAAAAAACAATGTTGAATTCACCACATCCAAACTGAAAAAAAAAAACTCATTTTGATATTGCTGAACCAGTTTGCATTTAACATTGTGTTTTGTTTTTCAGGTCAGATGAAGACGACCCAAGTGGGAGCAAGTATACTAGAATGGAAGACGACAATATACAGGACAAGGAACGATTTGCAAGGTATTATTCATTATTACAAATCATTTTCTTGGAAGATCATCTCGAGCTATAGGTATAGGGTGTTGATATTTTGAGAAAAAATTCTTTTCATAATATAACTTCAATACTGTTCTAGATATTTCCACGAAATTTGACATACACCTACTGAGCATTCACATTCTTTGATGCAGGATTTTATTCAATAATTCTACCAGTGGCATCCGTATGGGATGTATACTGGAGATTTAAAAAAATATATTGTAAGCCCTTGCTTTTTCCAAAAATAAAAATCATTTGTGAAATCCATTTTTATGCATTTGTGGTATAACGAAATTATTTCGTACTAGTAGGCTGGTGCCTTATTTTGTACAATTGATCGATTACGTTGTGGTCTTATTTTGAAAAGTATTCATGAACGTGACAAGTTTTTTACATTGTGAAAGTTTCTTCAATCAATAATAAAGAGAAAATAAAATTTCAACACCCTATAGTTGGAATGTTGTAGTTTAGGGTATATGTGTATATGAACTTTTCTTTTCAAAATGAGATAAGGCACCATATCCTATATTTCTAGCCATCAATTGAATTATACTCTGTGTATAGGTCTCGCGCCAGAACCTTATTTATTCTGTATGCGAAAGAACTAAATTTTTTTTCGAAATGTCAACCTGAAATTTAGTTCTTAAGAGAATGACAGGCTGATAGCTATACAGGAAAAGACAAAAGGTACTCTTTCCCCCTCGCCACAGGGCGTTATTCTTAACGCCCTATAGTAAAAGTGAGTGGTGAAACTTGCTTCATTATGTTTTGGACTTTGTGACCATTGTTCATTAGCTTGCTTCGAGGTAAATGATAACACTCCAACGATGCTAAGATAAAAGAAACCTTAGAATCGAGCAAATTTTATTTCAACCAAGCATATAAGAATATCATAATAATATATGGCAAAAATGAAATGACAGAATGTTCATTTCGTATATAATATTCTCATATTCAACAAGATGATCCGTTTGAAACGAGAACGAGTCCATACTGAAATATGAAAACTGAAACAAAAAGAACATGATTCAGTCAAATCAACAGGACACTATTTCCTATTTCTATACTGTTTCAGATAAGACATCATCCTTGCTCAGAATGAGTGGCTTCATTGATATAAATATGTATCCTGTTGATTCAATCATAATTCGCTAAAATCATTACAACTTTTCTATATTTTTTTCTTGTATCGCGTTAGATATTTTCCAGTGAGCGATCGGTGCCTGCTAATTGCCATTTTAGTCGCCGCAGTCGAAATGAGAAACATTTCGACGTCGAAAAAAAAAACGCTCAGAGATCATTCGTTCGTCGGGTCGTAAGTAGTACATCTTCGGACGGGGGCATTAAAAGCAAAGTCAAAAGGGAGCATCTAGCCATCGCGTTCCCGAGCAGTCGTGACGGGCCGCGGGACGCGGGGGGCCCGCCACGGAGTACGGCCGAGGCGGCCCCGCGCAATTTCCCACGCTGCCGAGCCTCCTTCTCCGCCCCCTGGGCCCCCTTCGCCCCCCCAACGCTGGTCGTCGGTCCTCTCTCCCCCCCGTTTGGGCTTCGCGCTGCGCTCGGTACGATAGCACTCGAGCGCTCCTCGTACGGTGGTCGGCTGCGTCGGAAGCGCTCTGCGTGGCTCTGCGCCACGGATTTGATGGTGTACGAGGCGGGTTTCGTACTTATTCGTTACACGATTGGACGTAGTTGTGGAGCCAAGCGACAAGGTCATCAAAATTGAGTTGTATGGATGGATCGCTATCGCTACCCATACTACATCTAGCAAAAAAGGTCCAATCTAATTTCGAATGGGTATATAGACTTATTCATTCCCTGTCATAAATTCAGCTTCATATCTGATGGTTCCTGAGATGATATGGTTATTTTATTTAGAGCGTTTATCTTCTCTGAGAATTGTATTGTATTTTATGCATAAGGGATGAAGGGTGAATATAGTGTGACCTGATAGATTTTTCGCTACCTGTCCCCTGTTCCCTATAAGTGTGTGCATTCCTGCTGTAGAGTGTAGAGACGCAGTCTTCCTTTGCTTAGTCGAGCTACCAAAAATTTCCTTTCAACCGGCAGTGCTCACTATTAAGACTCTCAATTAGTATAGTTTATTTTTGCTAATGGGCTGAAATCTGCATTCGATATTTTGTGGTTATATGTAGCCGCAGTAGTATCTTAGCCTGCCTGAGACCTTGAAAATTTTCCCAGATGTCTCATCATTTTGAGGATGTCTGAGCTCCTCTCCTAGTGAGTTTGTCCGCTACTTCATTTCGTTCTACTCCGGAATGTCCCAGAACCTATAGAAGGGTGACTGTATTTCTGTTGGCTAGCTCGTTTAGTTTTTACCGGCATTCCCTAGATTGAACTATAAACATTTTCCTATATATACCGTGAACTTCCGCCTGGAATATGCTTGGGAGTTTGCCAAGGTTTTCGAACTACTCGGTGTGAGGCCCCTAGACTCTGATAATCTTCAGAGGTCAATATCTTTTTGTTGCTTGGTTGCCTCTTGCATATGCCCAATTTGTCATGTGATTCAAGCGAATCAAGAAAAAAAATCAGCAATTGAGTTCTTCCGATATTAGTTTTACCCTAGAACTCATTTTCGGAGAGTGTTTGGAACTCGGTTTGGAAGTATTTACTAACAGCTACAGGAATATCATCATCAGGGGACAATTCTGGACAACTCGCGGGACCATCGTGCATATGGAAAAAAATTACCAGCAAAATCAACTGTGACTTCGAAAATATTTGCTTTCAGAATCATCAGTCTGGTTTTGGTGTTTTTATCTGAGAATCGTAAGTGTACGCTCTAGGAACTTGAGTTTTGGAACTTGTGGTGCCGTAGAACTTTTGAAGACAATTATTATTGTTGAATCTATCGAAAAATAAAGAATTTGAAGTTAATGGGGGTGGTTCCGTTTGAAGTGGGTCATTTCCAAAACAAAATGATGACGGTGACATTTCTCATCTTCAGGAATTTCTGTAACGATGTTTGTCTGCTTTATTCCGTTTTTTTCTGTCCATTCACCTATGGAAAGCAAAGGAGTCCCTTAGAATAGAGTTGCTGAAGGCGTGAGGTGCTTTCACATTAGCGTAGAATCCAACCGGAACTGAACGTAATCGATTAGCTGAGAAAAATGAATGGATCACATTCGAAACGAAATCACGTGACGAAAAAATGCTACGGTATTATATCGTCAATGGGTCGGTATGCTGCATTAAGGAAGGATATAGAAAAAAACGTTTACTATATCGAAATAGGTATATAATCTTAGGAATGCGAAAATACTGATACTTTTTTGTTTTCGGTTTTTCTGTCTATGAATGAATGCCAGAAGAAATTGAATTTCATTCATGGTTTCATTTGTTTTTCCGTTCAGTCATAACTTCATTTTGTCTGGTAGGTTTTAGTCATTATTTTACTCTAATGGAATGTAGCTTTTTGAAATATAGTACTTTGCACGAACAAGAATAAGAATTTCCTTTTGTGTGCCCCAGAAGATGAATGAAACTAAAGACATACTCGGTTTTCCAACCTTCAGAACTAAACATTTTGACCAATAATGAATAGTTTCGACACAAAAAATCCTAAAGTCGAAAAATGTCGATTTTGAACACCCTATAACTCTGTAGTAATTCTCGCTAGACCCTAAGTGTGATACATCGATGAAATCAGCTCTTCGAAAAGAATCTCAAAAATGCAATGAAATTCCATTTGAAATATTAATGTTGTTGCTACTTTTCGATAGAAGCGGCAACGCCGTAGGGCTGAAAATATTTTAGAAAGATGCGTCCCTGGAAAATGTAGTTGACGTATTTTTTTTTATAATCCGGTTCTGGCGACCTATACAGAGCCTCTGTTTCGTTGTCAAATGAACACCCTATATACTGTTGAAAAGGAATATTCTCAGATAAATTATGAACATACAAAAATGGATATATATTTATATAAAACAATACATTGAGAATTCGCATTCTCTAAGTGATGAGAATATTTACTCTTTTTCAGTTAATTCAATAGAAAACAACTACTTTCCTGGCTATATGCCACGACGAACATTGAATTATATCTATTGAACACACACGATAAGAGTTTGAAAATAAAATATAAAAATTTCTGAAATTGAGAATTTGCATTCTCCTTCAGACAAAAATATGTATATACACACATCATTCTGAATATTCAACAGAAAACAACTACTGTTGAATATTCAGAATGATGTGTGTATATACATATTTTTGTCTGAAGGAGAATGCAAATTCTCAATTTCAGAAATTTTTATATTTTATTTTCAAACTCTTATCGTGTGTGTTCAATAGATATAATTCAATGTTCGTCGTGGCATATAGCCAGGAAAGTAGTTGTTTTCTATTGAATTAACTGAAAAAGAGTAAATATTCTCATCACTTAGAGAATGCGAATTCTCAATGTATTGTTTTATATAAATATATATCCATTTTTGTATGTTCATAATTTATCTGAGAATATTCCTTTTCAACACTTTCATACCCAATCAGGGGGTTCAAACTTGAACGATGGAAACTTGTGATTTTTATAGACCTCTAATCGCAGATTCGTGATAGAGTCTCAATTCAGAATTCATTTCCACGCCCTGTATGATGAATGTCAATTTATCATACACCCAAAAACCCTATATACTCCTGCTTGGAATTCAATACCACTGGAACAGTTGATAATACATTCCCGATCATTTTATTTTCTCATAATTCAATTTCTTCAGATAATAAGCGAGCGAAGAGTTGCCGTTTCCAAGTTTCAATCCGGATTGCGTATACTAAAAAACGAGCGAGAAGAAAAGTAATTTTCGCGGAGCACTTAAGGACCCTCAAGTGGAAAAAAATAATACGGCCCGATGCGTTCGGAATTTGTCGTTATCGGAAAGAACCTTAACACAATTACGGTAAATAATCAATAATTGAGGAGAGACTAAATAACAATGATTAGCCGTGCGGACGGGCAGACG